TCTGAATTTGACCTTCTGCCCGGAATCTGTAATGTTTTACCAGCTGACCTCTGCTCAGGATCTGAAGACAAATTTATACAATTTACTTATCCAGCCTGTTACATAAGCTGCTGTAAGTAATTACAACCCAGTCATTCATATTTTCAAACACATACAGACAGGTGTAAAAGGTCTCTTACCAGATATGTGATATCATATTCTTCGTTCCTGTTAAGGTTTAGGCTGAATTTGAGGTTTTGTCCTAATTTCACCTCAGCTGTTTCCAGTCCTGCAACAACAACTTTTTACAATCAGTACTAGACACTTTGTTGGCTCTCAGAGCTATAGAGAGGATTATCAGCACGATTTCTGCTGACTATCTTCTGATGTCATTTTACGAAATTCCTCACCAATATGGATGTAATTTGTGCTTGTGTGAGGGGTAACTATCATGTTAGCAGATCTTTGCCTCTCTGGTGAAATGTTCTCAACAGCAGTCCTTGCCTGTAATTAAAGGCATACAATAGATTATACACAACTAATATAAAAATAATACAATGATAATCAAACAATACAATGACACTAATTTTGTACTAGATTAAAAGTATTTAGCCTATTTTTAGCTAACCTACAGTTGAGCTGACATACAAACTACTGGCTATTTCCAACCACGTAAGAAAAGTTATATAACATTTTTAAAGCTGTGTTCTTTCTGACATACAGTGAAATAAACAGACTGATGAGTGCATAGTTGGCAATAACTTGGCAATCAACAACATTGCAAAACATCAAATTGACAATTAAACATACAGTAATAATGATGTTTTTACTGTTTGCCACTGTATTGATGCTTAGCTTTGCCATGCCATTGTCTGCAGTGTTCTCTTTCATTTCACCAGGATTCACCACAACAGGAATATTTTTTGCTGGAGTGTTATCAGGGTTCAAAACTTCAATCTGCCATTACAACGAAGAAAAACAAAGAGCAGCATAGTTTATTTGATATTAAGCACATTAGTTTCTGAAAACAATATAACAAAAGCATAAAAAAAATAACAAAAAAACAACAATAACAGAAAAAATAAATTTTCATCTCAACTAAACATGTTCAGTAAAATATTATACATCACATACACATCATGTGTATATTTAATTTTATAATGTTGTTTTGCTCATGAAACATTGAAATTAACACTTTGAACTCATTGAAGCCCAATTGCAAAAAAAACCCCACCATATTTTGTAAATTGTAAATAAAAACTGTCAAGGACAGTTATGGCTGAAGAAGGAACCAATTTCTATGACTATCAAGACAGGGAGTAAATTCAAAAACAATGTCAATTTGGTGTAAAAAAAATACAAACTAATCCAGATCAGAAACAAATAATCCAACTCTTCTAGGAAAACACACAACGAGGGACACAGCCATAAGGGAAAATGTAACGCAGGACAACGGGAGACTGATACAATAAATACCCACCAGAAAACAGGGTGAGACAAAACAGGTGTGAGGACAGCAGAAACTAATCCTAGATGAGATAAGGTATTTAGAAATAGCAACTAT